TGGCTTAAAACTCAACATTCAGAAAACTAAGATCACAGCATATGGTCCCATCACTTCATGGCAAATAGATGGGGAAACAGTGGAAACAGTGAGAGACTTAATTTTCTTGGGCTCCAAAATCACTGCAGATGGTGACTGCAGTCATGAAATTAAAAGATGTTTGCTCCTTGGAAGAAAAGCTATGGCCAACCTAGACAGCATATTAAAACTTTGTCAACAAAGTTTCATCTAGTCAAAGCTATGGTTTTTCCAGTAGTCATGTATGGATGTGAGAGTTGGACTATAAAGAAAACTGAGCACCAAAGAATTGATGCTTTTGAACTGTGGTGTTAGAGAAGACTCTTGAGAGTCCTTGGACTACAAGAAGGTCCAACCAGTCAGTCCTAAAATCCTGAGTGTTCTTTGGAAGGACTGATGCTGAAGCTAAAACTCCAATACTTTCACCACCTGATGTGAAGAGCTGACTCATTGGAAGTGACCCTAACGCTGGGAAAGATTGAAGGCAGGAGGAGAAGGGGATGACAGAGGATGAGATGGTTGGATGGCATCACCGTCTTGATGGACGTGAGTTTGAGTAACCTCTGGGAGTTTTTGATGGACAGGGAAGCCTGGCATGTTGCAGTCCATGGGGTTCCAAAAAATCGGCAGGACTGAGCGACTGAACTGACCTGAACTGTTCAGTCTGAACTTGTGATGAGAGGGCTTCCCTAGTGGCTCAGATGGTAAGGAATCTGCCTGCAACACAGGAGACCCGGGTTCAATCTCTGGGTCAGGAAGAGCCCCTGGAGAAGGGCATGGCAACCCACTCCAGCATCCTTGCCTGGAGAATCCCATGGGCAGAGGAACCTGGCCAACTACAGTCCACAGGGTCACAGACAGTTGGACCCGACTGAGTGACTAACACTAATACACTTGTGATGAGTGATGATTTGGGGAAGAGAGATGCTCAGATCAGGTTTCCCATACGCCTCTCCATGTGCTGTAAAAAAAAGTGGGATCTGGGCTAGATAAAAATGTTCTTGAAGGATGTAATGAGCAGATGTTAGATGAGGGCCCATTTTGGACTTTGGTTTACAAGAACCAGTTAGAAGCAGAGTTCTGGGACTATTGAGGAAACTGGAATATGTTGAGATATTACATAAGATTAAGATCTATAAGGATATGTACCAAGGTGTTTAATAGTGGTAGGGACAAAATGTCTTGTTTTTCTTATTTTTGCTAATAAGCATTTCATCTTCCACAAAACATATGTACTTCTTTTTTTTTTTGTATCTTTTTTAATCTTTTATACGTACTTCTTTGGCAATAAACTATCATCAGATCCTATTCTCCCTTGCTTAAAATCTGCCAATGTCTTCCTGTTGCTCTTAAAAATCCAAACTTCTCACCATGGCCCATAGAGCCTAACAACATTTTGAAGTTATCACCCTATTCTCATCTCCTCCTCTCCCACCTCCCGCCATTTATCTTAAAGCATTAACTGCAGCACCTTCCTTCTGTTTCTTAGACATACTGAACCTATACTATCTTCAGGACCTTTGCATCTGTTAGTTCCTCTACCAGAAAGCTCTTCCCACAAATACAGATCTTTGTATATTCATTATTAAAATCATAGGGCAGATGCCAAATCTTCAGAAAAGCTTTCCCTGTTGACCTCATCTAAAGTAGAGACACCTCCTCCCCACCCCAATTCACTCTCTGTTTCATCATCCTCCTTTGATTTTCTGCTTTGTAGTGATATGTGATTTAAATTTTTTCATCATTTTAATTCACTTCTGTGTTTCTCCACCGAAATGTAATCTCTGTGAGAACAGACACTTTGACTGCTTTTCTCACTACTACATCCCTGGTGTTTAAGGCAGTGCTTGGTACATAGTAAGATCTCATCAAATGTTATTTGAATAAATGAATGAACGAGTAAACATGTGAATGAATCTCATATTATCCTTGTAAGATAGGTGCCATTAGAATCTACATTTTACAGATAAGAACACCGAAGCTCAGAGAAGTTAAGTGACTTGTCCAGGGACACACAGACATCAGATCTAAGGTGCCTGCTTTTTCATTGCTGTGTGTGCTGTTTTCCACCCCTCTCCCATCCCCTGGTGCTTCCTCCACTGGTGCCCCTTCCCTCTAGGATAATAACCTTTTGACTAGACAAGATTAAAAATGATTGTTTCATATCAAAGAAAATGAGGTAAGAGTAGATGTGACTGCTTTTAATTCAATTGTTCTTGATTTTTGCCTGTTGTAATTTGATCAGCACACATACACTTGGCTGAGAGCTGGGCTTGGGCAACTATGGCATAAGACCTAGCACACACAGTCCTGGCGCTCCTCATCTCAGACCTTTCTGTGCCTGTGAATGGGGAAGGGGTGTGTGCAGTGGTGAAAATCAGTTTGCTAGGTGCCAAGCTCTCTAACTACTTCCACAAGAGTAGATATATAAGTCAGTAGTGCTCTGAGCAATAAGTCACAGAAAACCAGCTCTTCAGTTCAGTTCAGTTCATTTCAGTTGCTCAGTTGTGTTCGACTCTTTGTGACCCCATGAATGGCAGCACACCAGGCCTCCCTGTCCATCACCAACTCCTGGAGTCCACCCAAACTCATGTCAGTGATGCCATCCAACCATTTCATCCTCTGTCGTCCCCTTCTCCTCTTGCCCCCAATCTTTCCCAGCATCAGGGTCTTTTCCAATGAGTCAGCTCTTCACATCAGGTGGCCAAAGTATTGGAGTTTCAGCTTCAACATCAGTCCTTCTAATAAACACCCAGGACTGATCTCCTTTAGGATGGAGTGGTTGGATCTCCTTGCAGTCCAAGGGACTCTCAAGAGTCTTCTCCAACACCACAGTTCAAAAGCATCAATTCTTCAGCGCTCAGCTTTCTTTATAGTCCAACTCTCACATCCATACATGACCACTGGAAAAACCATAGCCTTGACTAGATGGACCTTTGTTGACAAAGTAATGTCTCTGCTTTTTAATATGCTGTCTAGGTTGGTCGTAACCTTCCTTCCAAGGAGTAAGTGTCTTTTAATTTAATGGCTGCAATCACCATCTGCAATGATTTTGGAGCCCCCCAAAATAAAGTCAGCCACTGTCTCCTCTGTTACCCCATCTATTTGCCATGAAGTGATGGGACTGGATGCCATGATCTTAGTTTTCTGAATGTTGAGCTTTAAACCAACTCTTAGTAACTTAAATAATTAAGAATTTATATTTCTCACATAACAAGATTGTCCAAAGCTAGGTGGTTTCTATATTCCTTCAGTTGCTTCCTGGTGTCACTAAGATCCCAAGCACTTTCTGCTCCACTGTTCTGAACATATTTATCTCCTGTCCTCATGACAGTCACCACATGGTTGCAAGACATTTCCTGTATCTCCAGGCATCACACCTAGCAACGAAGGAAGAGGGAGGCAGTAGAGGCACTGGTCCCACCTGCCCACTTTATCAGAAAAGCAAGAGTTCNAAAAAAAAAAAAAAAAAAAAGAAAAAAAAAAGAAAGAAAAACGAAAACAACAAACCACTCTGATTGTGAGAAAACACAAAAAACAGCACACGTTGTTAACTTCTCCCTCTCTTCTTTGCCAAGGTGTCTTCTTATTCCTTTTGGGAATGGGAATCAACATTCACAGTGACTATATATTGCGCCAGCTCAGGAAGCCTGGAGAAATCATCTATAGGATTCCACAAGGTAACGTCTCCCCTGCCCTCCAGATTCTCACTCTTCCTTGAGAGCCTGTCCCAGGAATTTCACTATGAGTAACAAAAGAGAGGGCACAAATGATGCAATCTATCCCAGTAGGTCCCTGACTTCTCCCATGTCCCATCCTGCCCCACAATACATTTGCGTTCCTGGTCTGAACCTGAAAGAGCAGAAGAGCCCCCAGGAAGGTTCACGATCATGACACCCTCAGTGTGGGGAGTGTGGGTTCTGGGGTCAGGTGGAAGCAGGCTGTCACTCAGGTTTATCATGTGCTGTATTAGGGTTCTCCAGAAAAGTAGAACCAATTGAATATAGGCTTCCCAGGTGGCCCAATGATAAAGAATCCACCTGCCAATGCAGGAGACTCAGGAGGACAGGGGTTTAATGCCTGAGCCTGGAAGGAGGAAATGGCCACCTTCTTGATGAGGAAATGGCAACCTACTCCAGGATTCTTGCCTGGAAAAATCTCATGGACAGAGGATGCTGGTGGGCTATAGTCATGGGGTTGCAAAAGAGTTGGACATGGCTGAACACACACACACACACACACACACACAACTGATAAATAAAGAGATTTATTATGAGGAATTGGCTTACATGACTGTGGAGGTTGAAAAATCCCAGAATCTGCCATCTACAAGGTGGAGTCCCCAGAGAAGAGGTGGTGTAATTTCCAGTTCTCAAGGCCTGAGAACTAGGACAGCTTCCATGTAAGTTCCAGTCTTAGTGTCGGAAACCAATGTTCAGCTCAAAACCAGAGAACAAATGCTCCCTCAGTCGATTTTTGTTCTGTTCAAGCCTCCAGAGGATTGATGCCTTTCAATCTGGGGTTTGGGCATGGGGTGGGGAGACAATCTGCTTTACTCAGTCTGTTGGCTCAAATGTTAATTTGATCCAGACACTGTCATGGACATACCCAGAAATAATGATCAATGAAGTATCTGGGTACCACATGGCCCGGTCAAGTTGACACAAGAAATTAACAATCATCTGTATGTAGAGTGCCAATCCTTCCTAGGTTAGCAAATAAAGCTAAATCATGCATGACCAACACATTTGTCCTCTTCAAGAAGTCTCACTAGACTTAACTAGTGAGTAGTCAGGGGGTAGCATTTGTTTACTTCCTGCCACTTGAGTGTTCTTAAAGATGTAGAGGACCATATTTACTTCATCAAAACTTAGGATGGGAAGCCTTACAAGTACAAGTGCATTTTCAGAGATAAAGGTGCAGAATATTTGAAGTTCTAACTGTTCCCAAGTAACCAGGGTGTGAGGTTGACACATAAGCAGGTGGAAGTGAATTCACCCAAATCATTCTCCAACTTTTTAGGTGAATATTTGTGTAGGTCAGTGGCTCCTACCCTTTTTGATGTAAACACAAGCCTTTATTTACATTTAAAAATTACTGAATTACAACATAATGTTAGCACATACTAATATCCACTGATTAATTTATGATTAAAAAACAATGACAAAGCTAAGTTTGAATTCAGCAATACTTAAATGAATTTGAATGTGGCTAACATCCTTTCAGTATCTACATCCAACAAAAACATACTGTAGGTTGAAGTATGCCATTTGCTATATTCACAGACTATTCATAGACTCTTTGCAATCAGCCAGCAGTTCCTCCTGAGGCCTGGGGAGTTACAGGCCAGGAACCGCTGATGCAGTATCATCCTTAAGGAAGATAAATTTAAGGGCTTTTTATTTTTTAAGTCTTCACTCAGTAACTAGACAAATAGAGAAGAGCAGAGAAAATTCTTGAAAGCTAGATTGTCAAGTTTGGTTTCCAACTATTGGGTTGGCCAAAAAGTTCATTTGAATTTTTCTGTAGCATCTTACAAAAAACCTGAATGAACTTTTTGGCCAATCCAATATTAAGTTATTTTAGATAATGGTTTAAAAACAAAATATTCTTTGTATAAGTATGGAAAGAAAAATTGTTTTGGGTGAAGCTTTCCCAGGTTAGTGTGGGGCAGAAATATTGAATGTAAATATATCTCCTATCATTAGAAACATGTTGATTTATAGATACAGTTTTGAGATCAGAAATAGTGGTTGGATAGAAAAGGAAACCTTTAAGATCAATAGAAACAGACTTCACCAGTCTCCAGGAGGGAAAAACCCTGCAGCTCCCACTCTGAACTTAAACTTGAACGGAGTGTACTGCTTTGCAGGAGTGGGAGGGCAAACACCAAAGCAGAATCGGACTGCCGCTCACATCAGTTCAGGCTTTTATTATTTTCACAGTAGTATGTTGTTTCATTTTGATGGTGGATGTGCTGTGAGCTGAGGCACTGTGGGTGCCCAGGGAAGGACTGAGGTCAGAGGTGGTTGGAAATATTACTTAACGGAATGAAACAAGCGCCGACCTCCTGCACCTCATCCTCGTCCTGCCCCAAGCCAGGGGTTCAGCAGTTGCTGGAGATCCGGATGGAGCCCGTCCAGTGATTCGGGCCACTCCTCATCCTTCCAGGATGTTCTGAGGGCTACAGGATGCTGACACTGTTTTCACTTCTCCCCAAGAGGATTCCACCATACTCCCCTGACTCTGAAGGCGGTCTCCAGCCCCACATTTGACCTAGGTGCCCTAATGTGTTTTGGAACAAAGCAGAGGGGTTCTAACATGGCAATAATGGAGCACAGGTGACTGACTTGTTGATTCTTCCCACACGCAGGTGGCTTGTTCAAGTTTGTTTCTGGAGCCAATTTCCTTGGTGAGATCATTGAATGGATCGGCTATGCCCTGGCCTCTTGGTCCCTCCCAGCACTTGCATTTGCATTTTTCTCACTTTGTTTCCTTGGGCTGCGAGCTTTTCATCATCATAGGTAAACTTTTCAATTAAGGTGGCCTCATCCACATAGCTTTCTTCCCCAAACAGGCTTTTCTTAGAACACGGAGTCTTTTAGGTCTTTTAGAAACCTAAAAGATTTATTTTTAACAAGGTAAGGTTGACACAGTAACCCAGACGGGTCAATTCTGACATCTCGGATTTTCACTGAAGTTGGAATTTAGCTGGGTGATGGCAGCAGTGACACTTTTTTCCTTCCTATGAACAAAAACAATCCCACATAGACAGTGGCACTGAGGCGACTTGCAAAGCCACATGCTTGTTGAAGAAGGCTTCCCAGAGAGAAGCACTCGGTGTCCACGTGAGGACAAGCTCTGTGCCCTCCTATCAGGCTTATCTGGCAATGGCTGCTGTTTGGCTGTGGGCNCCCTGCTTCATTTTGTAGTCCAAGGCCAAATTTGCCTGTTACTTCAGGTATTTCTTGACTTCCTAGTTTTGCATGCCAGTTCCCTATGATGAAAAGGACATCTTTTTTTGGGTGTTAGTTCTAGAAGGTCTTGTAGGTCTTCATAAAACCATTCAAGTTCAACTTCTTCAGCATTGCTTGTTGGGGCATAGACTTGGATTACTGTGATACTGGATGGTTTGCCTTGGATATTAACAGAGATCATTCTGTTGTTTTTGAGATTGTACCCAAGAACTGCATTTCAGGCTCTTTTGTTGTCTATGAGGGCTACTCCGTTTCTTCTAAGGGATACTTGCTCACAGTAGTAGATATAATGGTCATCTGAATTAAATTCACCCATTCCAGTCCATTTTAGTTCACTGATTCCTGGAATGTCGATGTTCACTCTTGCCATCTCCTGTTTGACCACTTCCTATTTACCTTGATTCATGGACCTAACATTTCAGGTTCCTATGCAGTGTTGCTCTTTACAGCATCGGGCTTTGCTTCCATCACCCTCACATCCACAGCTGGGCTTTGTTTTTGCTTTGGTTCCGTCTCTTCATTCTTTCTGTGTTTATTTCTCCTGGGAAGATAGGCCAGCCATTCTGCGTGATACCTGTGTGGGGGCCACTTCCAGGGCTGGGCCACCTCCTGGGGAATTCTGGGAACTGCAGGAGAGAGACCCTTCTCCCGTGGACAGAGCCTGGCAGGCTATAGTTCACAGGGTCGCAAAGAATTGGACATGACTGAAGAGACTTAGCATTCACCTACTATTGTCTAGCTTTTAAGTTTTATCAGCTTCCACCTCCCTCCTAATCCCTGCACCCGCGATAGGGTGGGGACAAAAAGTTAAGTATCTCTGAAAGGGAAAGAAATACACACTAAATTGCTATTAGGCCTTAAAGACAAGTTTCAGATCCCTTTTCTGAAGTGGGGCTAGTGGAAAGAGAAAGCCTGTTGTTCCTGGACACATAGTGGGGCAGGGGGGTGGGGAGGATGCCCAAAGGGAGAACGGGCTTGGAATCAGGACTCTGAAGGAAACTCTTAGGCTCCTGCATAAGCATTTTAGTCCAGCTAACGATCAAATGATCAATTTCATAGCCTTGAAGCCTTAAGTAAGAATGGGCTCCCTTCCTTGGAATGGGATTTATGCAGAGACCTTCTAGAAATGAATGAAACAGCAGCTCTGCTCATGACTCATTCCTACCCTCTCCTGGGCTTGGTAGAGAAGGGCCCCGGTGGGGTCCCCAGCCTGGAAGGGGGTGAGTGAAACAATTCTCCCCCATTCAGGTAGGCCTGTTGCCCACCAGAGTCAGAGAAGTGGGGTAAGGACAGGGCAGCAGTCAGTAGACGACTGATGAGTGTGGACTGTGCTGGGCCTGGTCAGGGGAGGCAGCAGTTCTACCAGAGGGCTCCAGCTAGTGCAACAGCAAAATCCAAACTGAGGCCCTGTCCTGCTGTGTTGGCTGCTTCAGAGGGAAGGCTGGAGGACGTCACTTTTACAAGGCTCATTGGGGTTTGTGAAAGGCAGCTCAGCAGACCCCACATCACTGCATGGAAAACCAGCCACCTCCTGTGACATATTAACACTGTGTGCCCGCCCTTTCGAACTATGATACTTGAACAGAGTGTATCCACTTAACGATAACTTAAGATACCAGCTTCACCTAGTTAAGAGAACAGCCTGGTCACTTAAAGAGAAAGCCATTTTTACAAGACATATTAGTCTCCCTTGACTGCCCAGAGAGGAACTGAGTGGCTTAAAGAACCGAAATGTATTCTCTCACAGTTCTGGAGGCAGAAGTCTGAAATCAAAGTGTGGGAGGACTACACTCTCTCTGAAGGCTGAAGGGAAGAATCCTTCCTCGTCTCTTCCTAGCCTCTGGCAGTGGCCGGCATTCCTTGGTGTTCGTGGCTTGTAGCTGCATCCCTGTCATCCCTGCCTCTGTCTTCACAAGGCTTTCCCCCACTGTGTGTCTGTCTCTGTGTCTCTTCTTTCCCTTCTCATGAGAACACCAGTCAGATTGGATTAAGGGCCCACCCTGCTCCAGTATGACCTTATCTTAATAAATTATATCTGCAATGACCCTATTTTCAAAATAAGGTCACCTTCTCAGGTACTGGAAGTTAGAAACCCAGCCTATGTTTTGGAGGACACACAATTCAATAGACAGTACAAGGTAACTTTTTTTTTTTTCTTTTGGCATTCCCCCAGGCCTTGTGAAGGGATATTTTGCCTGGGAACCTGACCAGTTCTCTAGAGTTAAGCTTGACCATGCTCTTTGGGATCTCTGGTTCCTGTATGCCTCAGTTGAATCCACTGAGTACTTCTTTCTGGCTATTATATATTCTTTACTGGGCAAAATATACATAACAAAATTTCCCATTTTAACCATATTAAACATATAACTCAGTGGCATCAGGTACGCTTATCATGTGGTACAGCCACTACTGCCGGTCTCTGGCTATTGTTTTTTCTTTCCCAACATGAGAAGCTTCAACATTTGCAAGAGATAGGATGCTGGAGGGAGGAAGAAGATAGACAGATGGCCACCTGGAAAAGTCAGGTCCCGAATAACTGCAGGCTGATTTGTAACAGGGACTTCAAACAGATCAAACCTCAACCACTGACCACTGCTTGATTGTATTTATAATTATTCCTCTTTTGTCTTTTAGATTCTACCTCAAGATGTTTGATGACTACCCCAAGTCTCGGAGAGCCCTCATTCCATTCATCTTTTAAAGAAACCAAAGAACAAGGGGACAAATCTCCCATGATCCTGTTGAAAACCATCAAGCTGCTGAACCTGTAACTTTTAAAGTCCCACTGTGTATGTGTAATAGTAGTGTGGCGTCCTGGCAGCTGGCCTGAGGAGTCTGCATGGGCCCCCCTAGCGTCTCCTCCCAACCCCCTGGGGGTCTCTGTGCTGCTCTCCTGTTGAAGAATAAGGCCCCACCTTTTAATGCAGAGATACCTGCTTCTTAGCTATTCCTCCTATAAAGTGCAAACTTCCCTATGTGTTTTTTCCTTTGAATGACCCAAGTACATGTGGCTTTATACCTACTCTATATCAGTGTTAAGACTTTATGCAGTCGAGAAAGATTTCAGTTAAGGGCATTGCTTATAGAATTTATTAAAGGTACACATTTGACTCATATACAAATTAGCAGCAATTTAAATTCTGAAGCTGCACAGACCCAGAGCAATTCTCCTCCCAAATGAAAACCTACTCACCTCTTCCTTTTCCTTAGTTAATTATGAAAGATGTGACATGATTAAGTAGACTCTGAGCAGAGGAGCCCTCTCTTCATTCTGCTGAAGATGCAACAATACATTGACCCCATTTCAAATTTGTGCATTGTCTTAGTGGCTCTGTGTTCCTGAAGATTTCACAATCCCCATTAGAGATATCATACACAGGCTAACACAGATAACTGGTGTGGATTTTACCAAAGGTCAGGTTTTAATGACCACAAAGAAGAAAAGATGACTCTGGTTGACCACAGAGGGATAGAGAAAGTATTTTACATATAGACTGCAAACTCTCATGTTTTTGGAAACTGGTGTGTGTATGTGCTTAGTCGCTCAGTCGTGTTCGTATCTTTGTGACCCCATGGACTATAGCCCACCAGACTCCTCTGTCCATGGGGATTCTTCAGGCAAGAATACTGGCGTGGGTTGCCATGCCCTTCTCCAGGGGATCTTCCCAACCCAGGAATTGAACCCAGGTCTCCTGCATTGCAGGCAGATTCTTTACCATCTGAGCCACCAGGGAAGCCCTGGAAAATGGTGGAAATAGCCAAATAATGAGAGTGTCAGACAATGGAAAGTACCGAGTTGGAGTGTATGCTGTTTCCCTTGACCAGACGTGTACAGTGATGGTGAAGCATCTCAGAAGCACTCAGCATCTCTTCCCTTCTGGAGTTTCTGCACCACAATCCTCAGGATCTGTTCAAGAAGGAATCCCCTAGAGGTGCCTTGAACCTCAGTCCTTAGAAGTCCTGGGAGCCGAGGCTGGAATTCACAACCAGAGGGACACTTCTAGGCAGACAATCTGCTTTGTTTGGCCCCAACAGTGTTTTACACATAGTTTGGTTTTATTTTTCTTTTTACATTAAAAGTTTCCAAAATTTAAAAATTAGGAGGTTTCTTCATTTTCCAGTTTCTTTTAGAACATTGGAGAATCTGGGCCTGTGGAGCCTGCCAAGAACTGGGACTGGTCAGCTGGTAGACATCAGAATTTGCAACCTCAGTGGAGGGGGGGGCGGGTCACCCTCAAGTGGATGCTGAAACTTTGGGCTCTCTAAGGAAGGGACTGAACCCTCCTAATCAGAATACATGATGATATTTGTCTTTGCAGGTCTAGGTTTGTGTCCAGCATTGGTAATCTCTAGCAAATCTCTTTGAGAAGTGAGCACCAGTTTCATCATATGTAGTGCTAAGTGCAGAAATTCACTAGATAAAATACATAGGACACCCAAAAGATCTGAAGATGTATATGACTGAAAAATACAAATTGTAATCATTTATACACATGTTTTTCTGTTTAAATGACTCTTGAATTATGGATAAGTAATTTTTTTGAATTAAAAGATCCCCAAACTTATAAATATTTTCATAAGGTGTTGAGCTGTGTTTGTTCCCTTTTATTCTGTGTGTTTTTGTTTGTTTGTTTTCCCTGAGTGCTGCTTCCTTTCTTCCTTCCTTTTTTCCTTTCTTTCTTTCTTCCTTTCTATTTTGCCAACTTGAAATTCAGGGCCCTGAGCTGAAAATAAAAGAGAAATATGACTTATAGAGCTTGTCAACCACAGCTTATTGCACCAGGCAGGTGCAATAAAGGTGCAGGAGAATGTACTAAGGCTGGATGCCCCTCCAGGTGTTCAGGAGTACACCGGGGAGTGGGGAAACCACGCTCAGTGAAATCAATCTTAAGGTGTAGGTTGGCCTCTGTGAAATGACTTCCAGTTCTCTCTGCAACACTTAAAACTGCCTTTATGAAATCCTTTATCTTATTACTATATATAATACCCAGACCAGTCTGTGATTTGTAATAAATGCTCAATAAATGGTAGCTATTATTTGCTCAGTGTATGCAATCTCAGAACGAAAACTGCTGTTCAGCAATTTCATGTTCTTGCCACTAGAGGGTGCTCTTTAGAATTTTGTTTAGGACAACTGATTTTATTATACTTAGGTCTAACTCACAGGTTTGAAATTTAAGAAACTCATAACTACAATTTATCATGATCAAGGACTTTCTTAATTTAAATATAGGGTAGAATAAACTTCATATAATTTTATTTGTTTTTAGATTTTTTTTTGGATGTGGACCATTTTTAAAGTATTTATTGAATTTATTACAATATTGCTTCTAGTTTATGCTCTGATTTTGTTGTTGCTGTTGTTGTTACTGTTTCTCTTGCTTTGGGTTTTTGGCTGCAAGGCATGTCGGCTCTTAGCTCCCTGACCAGGAATTGAACTAGCACTGCCTGCATTGGGAGGTGAAGTCTTAACCACTGGACCCCCAGGGAAGTCCCAACTTCATGTAATTTTAAATATTCTCTTGATAACTGAAGTATTCTCAGGGCTCTAGGACTACTGTTTTTAACTCGATTTCTCTGTTTAGGTCTAGGATATGCATGCAGAAGGAATACAATAAAAGTCTGAAGGTATGCTCATCCCTAAACATATTTCCCTTTTCTCCTAACACTGAAGTGCAACAAAAATATGGTTATTTTAGATGGAGTGTTTTTTCTTTTCAAATCGGGGCTAAAATATGACTGGCTTAGTTAATCAGCTACTCCGTCTTGCTCTTGCTGAAATGTTCACGGAGGGAATGTTTTCCTACTGACCTATAGGAGGTGTTGCAACGTTTTGTTTGCTTTCTGAATTAAAGAGATAAAGCACATTTAGGACATCAGTTATAGATGGAGACACTAAAACCCAGTGTTAAATGCCTTCCAAGGTGTTGCACAGCTGGTCTTATCTTGTCCCTTTAAGGGTCAGAATTCTTCTTTTCTTCGTTAAGCACAGCAGGCTTTTATAAGAGAGACCCAGCAGATCCCTCCTAGATAGGTGTGGATTTGAGGCCTGAACACACTCAGCAATCACTTACTGATACTTATGATATGAAAGTGGTGAGGGGTGGGGACATAGTGTTGAATTAGACATGATTCTTGCCCTTTACAGGCTGCCATTTGGATTTCTGAAAAGTATTGCAGGAGAAAAATAGCCAGAGCTTAATTGCGGTGCCACAGTTCAGATGCACAGATTGTTATGGGCTTTGGGGGGGAACTGTTCCCCTCACTCTGTGGGGAGGATCCAGCTGATGTCCTTATCTTGAACCTATTTGATAAAATGAAGGTGCAGGAGAGAGAACACGTGTGTTCAGCAAATGTCACAACTCTCCCAGCTCCCTAAGACTTACCTTCATAAGGAGCAGCATTGGTTCTGCCTTGTTCAGGAGGAGAAAACACTGCTAATGAAAAGTTTGTGAATAAATAGTGATTTAGGTGGTTTAAACTCTTTCAAAAACCAGTTAATATATCTATGATTTTACTGTCCTGCAGTTTTGCAATAGCTGTCTTGACTTTTCGTGGTAACTTCATGACAACTCGCCAAGAAGCAAGGACGAAAACACGGCTTGTGAAGGGATGGATTTGTGAGGAGTCATTTCCTTTTTTGCCCAGCTTTTTTATTATCTACTAGGCTGTGGGCTGAGGTCCAGGCATGGCAAATACGCAGGTTAACAATACATAAAGCAAAACCTTTACATAAAGCAAAACCTTCTAGAGAAGGCTGCTGATTGTTTTATAGCATCTGTACTCTCCCATGATGAAACAGGCATGGTGCCAGACAGTCATGTAGGTGCTTGGATGATTTAGTGGCCATTGAGTGGATTTAATTTCTAAACAAGAGATTTGCTCTTTTTCTCTCTAAGTCCACTGAGCTGTGATCTTAAAAGGTTCTGTGTCATTTGTATCATGTCCTGTTTCTTCCTACCAACCACACCTTAGGGTCTGGACGAGTGAAATACTCTTTGGGAAAAGGTCAGAGTATGTACTATACCATGTTAATGCCTTTTGTCCTAACCTTGGTGGGTACAGGGCTTGGCTTTGCTCAGTGTGGTCAGAGTCCAGGTGAAGGATTTCCATTATCCTCTCCACCTGGCAGGCTGGCTGGGAGGAGGGGAGAACAGAGAGAGAAAGCGGGGGAAGGTAGGGTTTCCGTGGGAGGAGTGGGGAGGAAGTGGGGGATGGTTGGCAGGGAAGTGGGGCAAATGGCCTTGGGAGCGGGGCCTTCTGACAGAATGGTTTCTTCCTTTCCCTGGTGTCCAGGTCTGTATCAGCCAGATCCTTGCCTTATCTTCCCAGGGGAAAAAAATTCCCTCTGAGAGAGAAAGTAAGCCCTTCTCAGAGCTTTTTTTTTTTAAGAGCTCCTTTTTTTATAAGGGAAGAAGCTGAGTTCCTTAAAACATAAGCCATATGGCTGTGCCTCGAGATAAATAGTTTAATTGTATTTCTGTCCGCTCACCTCATAAAGATGGTTTTAAGTCCACGGAGCAGTGTCACTTGTCAGAAAGAGGTGAAGGAACTGTTCCGAGAAGCGCGTGGCAGCATCCAAGTTCTGGGAGACCAGTGTGGGGAGAGGAGAGCAGCCAGAGGGACAAGAGTGGGCAGGCTTTCCTTCTGCACCAGCTTCGTTTTCCTTTAGGTCAGAGGCCCCGAGGAAGATGATCCTTTTGCGGTGCATTTTTCAGCACGGACTAGAAAGCAAGTACCATAAAAATGAATTAAATTTTATTAATTCATTAATCTATTAATT